GCTTGCCTTGAGCTGAAGAGCTGAGGGACAGCACCCAGGCCCAGAGTTCAAGCCCCACAACTCACAAAAAAAAGTGAAGGAGAGAAGGGGATATTTGGGAGCCCCAACTGACACTGAGGAGCAGAAGGACAGTTTGGCATAAAAGCTAAGACAATATGTCTGGCCAGACTTCATCGTGTATCATGTAGCCACCAAATCCTACCTCTACCATGTACCACCTTTGCCTTAGCTTCCCCATCTGTAAAATGAGATAATGGTATAAGATCATTAAATGCCAGTCTGAGAAATGACATCTGGAGAAGTGGATTAGGAGAAGGTAGAATGGAGGATTACAAACATTTAGCAGATGGCTCAATAATTGGATATGGGGCTCCCAGAACCTCATTTCTCTCTGTAAAAACAAGTGATCTCAAGCCAGGCTCATACCTGTAATCCTAGCTATTGAGAAGGCTGAAATGTGAGGATCATGGTTCAAAGCCAGCCTGGGCAGGAAAGTCCACGAGACTCTTATCTCCAATAAGCTACTTAGAAATATCTGGAAATAGCTGGGCACCGGTGGCTCACGCCTATAATCCTAGCTACTCAGGAGGCTGAGATCTGAGATGCAGTTCAAAACCAGCCCATGCAGGAAAACTGGTGAGACTCTTATCTCCAATAAACCACAGAAAACCGGAAGTGGCGCTGTGGTTCAAGTGGTAGAGCACTTGCCATGAGCTGAAGAGCTCAGGGACAGCTCTCAGGCTGAGTTCAAGCCCCACGACCGACAAACAAAAACCTCAACAACAACAAAAAGAAAAAGCTGAAAATGGTGCTGTGGCTCAAGTGATAGAGTGCTAGCCTTAACAAAAGAAGCTCAGGGACAGCACCCACAAGGCCCTAAGTTCAGACCACAGCACACACACACACACACACACACACACACACACACACACACAAAGTGACCTCAAAATTGCCTGCACACACACACACAAAGTGACCTCAAAATTGCCTGCCAGCTGAGTTTGAAGGTACACACCTGTAATCTCAGCATTTGAGATTACACCTCTCAGGCAGGAAAGTGTAATCTCAGCATTTGGGAGACTGGCATACCAGCCTAGACTATGTAGTGAGAACCTGTCAATAAACAAACAAATGTGCCTTCCAGTGCTGAATTCTGTGATTGTTAGCTAAACTTTAATTACACTGCATATAGTGGCTGGAGTATTTGCTGTGTCTCAAACTCCAATCCATCTTTTTTTTTTTGGTCCGGTCGTGGGGCCTAAACTCTGGGCCTGGGCGCTGTCCCTCAGCTCTTCAGCTCAAGGCTAGCACTTTACCACCTGAGCCACAGCGCCACTTCGGGCTTTTTTTCATTTTGCTTATGTGGTGCTGAGGAATCGAACCCAGGGCCTCAGGCATGCAAGGCAAGCGCTCTACCACTGAGCCACCTTCCCCAGCCCCTCTAACCTATCTTTAAGGAGTAGAAAGGTGTTTTGATTTTGTTGGTTGTGGGGCTTGAACTCAGGGCCTGAGTGTTGTACCTGAGCTCTTTTGCTCAAGGCTAGTGTTCTACCACTTTGAGCCACAGCTCCACTTCAGCTCAAGGTTAGCGCTCTACCACTTAAGTCACAGTGCTACTTCTGGCTTTTTCTGCTTATGTGCTGCTGAGGAATTGAACTCAGGGCCTCATGCATGCAAGGCAAGCACTCTACCACTGAGTCACCTTCCCAGCCTCCACTTCCAGTTTTTGAGGGGTTAATTGGAGTTAAGAGTCTCATGAAGATTTTTTTGCCCAGTCTGGCTTTGAACCATGGTCCTCAGATCTCAGCTTCCTGAGTAACTAGGATTATAGGCATGAGCCACTGGTACCCAGGTCAGAAAAAGATTTTCTAAGAGGAAAAATTTGTGTACATTCATACCTCTCTCCTTGGCTTGAATTCTGGAGTGGTTTTATTTCCCTATGATGAATTCTCAGCTCTTCAGCCTGGCATTCAAAACTCTTCACCATTGGACCTCATCATTCCAGATTCATTCCTAACTCCTCTACATCTGTCCCATGCCCACCTTCAAACACACCCGTTTCTCACCTCTGAGGTTTTACCCATGAGGTCTTGGCTTGTAAAACCCTCCACTTTTTCCACCTGTTTTCCACAGGAGCCACTCCTTTTTTTTTAGATCAGCTTACTTCATTTTTTTTTCCTTTTTTTTTTTTTTTGGGTCCGGTCGTGGGCCTGAACTTTGGGCCTGGGCGCTGTCCCTCAGCTCTTCAGCTCAAGGCTAGCGCTCTACCACTTGAGCCACAGCACCACTTCCGGCTTTTTTTCTTTTTGCTTAT